ATGTTCTTATTGTCGACTAGTAAAATGTTTTAATAGTGGAATGCAAATTGAGTTGATTCGATCTTCGTTTACAAGACTAAGAAAAGTAAGTCGAAAAAAAAAATCACTAAAAAATTTAAAACAAACAGCATCAACAACTTTATTTCAACTGAATGAACCTGAACAGGTAAATCTATTTTTGACTATTATATTTTACTACATGATCATTGATAAGATAAGTAAAATCCTTAAAGATTGATACATTATTATATACATCGACTGTTGAATAACTAAAGCGTAACCATGAAAAATTTCTTAAAAAAGGTTTATGTATATGTAATATTCAAAAAGGTATACTCATGAAGGAAAAGATAAGACATCAATACTACGAAGACAGAATGAAGTACGGAAAACCAGTGAAGTTTCACACTTCGGACTACTCAAAATTCGCTTTTACCCACTTGTCAATATAATACTTTTGAAAGTTGCACTCAATAGCTTACTAAAACTATCATTAAGTTTTAGAAATAAAAGAGACAATATTTGTTGCAACAAAATAGATCAATTTTAACAGAATTATTTCATAACAACTGTAAAAATCTTTGATTCAAACCGGTGTAAACACTGGAAAATATAGACAAAATGTAAAAGTATGAGGATGATGTCTACAGTTAAATTAAATATCGACGTGACAAAGCGTTACAGAATTTCATTTTTTTTACATTGTAACATCTATTTCTCATCAATGGCCGAAATAAGTTCTTTAAAAATTGTTGTTATAGATCTACTGTCAGTAGAAATTTTATTGATTTTTTTCTTTAGGTGAAGTCAAGATATTTCGAAAATACTGGCTGTCACGAAATTTCAAAAAATGGAATTTTTCTTGGCGAAGCTGAGAGTTCAGCATTTTATTATGAAATAAAACGACATACAAATAAACTTTCTGTATGAAAGTTGTTTAAATTGTAACAAATTTTCAGAATATCAAGTCATTTTTTAACAATCATAACTGTATCGAATAACAAACTAAAAATAGTGTTCGTTACAGAATTTCATCAAAAATATAGATGGTTTTTGAACACATTGTCTTAGCTCGTAGGTATCTAGTATTTGTATGAAAATCATATGTTGAAAGAGTACTTCGCATCCAATCAATTAATAACCAACTGAATAATTTTTTTCTGTTGATCGATCCTTGTTTGACAATGTATTTCACTATCATCTTTTATACAATCTTGTGAGCTGTCCACTTCAAGAAAGATTTCGTCTATCCATAGCATTCAATGCTGCTCAGAAATAGAGATATGTCCATTTGAAATACTATCGATCGTTCTCTTTTCAATAGTAGACTCAGCCTTCTTCATTTTCAAGTTCGAACCCTCTTCACATATGGGTGACCAACAGATAGTCATGCCGATATGCTACATGTGATACTGTTGCTAAGAAATTTCTAAAAATTGGCATTAGGGAATAGATGTGACGTGACTAAATGTTAGGAAAACAAGTTTCATGAATTTTTTACACACATATTTTCTTTGAGACTTTTCATAAATCCAGTTCGTTGATCTGTTAGTTATAATTATTCTTCCATTATATAGTCTATATTGTCCTCTAGATAACATTCAAGCATGGGAGTTAAATAATAAAAATTCTTTTCAGGAGAAATAATTAAACAAACTATTCGTCGACTTGAGTTTGAGATGCAACGACTATAGCTTTTTGTACGAAAAGATACAGTCAAGTGTCTTATTTCATGAGAATTTTTTGAAGACGGACTCGAACAGTAGCTATTTCATGTTTAAAATTTTTCTTTTATGAGTGAGAAAATGAAATTTTTCGTTCTACAGGACAAAATCGTACAAAAAGTCATTCGAAATTCAATTATTGTGTCCATCATATTCTCAGAAAAAAAAAATAAATATCATATTTGGAATTACCTTAAAAATCTGCGTCAAAATACTTTTCCAACGAGAAACCCATCTGTATTCTCGCTCAGGTCACTTATGGAAAAATTTTGCCTGCAGTCAGCCGAGAATGGATTACTGGTGAAGAGAACGTTTCGATGCAGTTATTGAAGCTGATTTCGAATATGACTTTTATTTTATTCTTTTCTGCAGTGTGATGATCAAAATGACTGAATCTTGAGTGATTCTTTCTGGGATTTTGCCCTGTATACCGAAAATTTTTGTTTTCTCACTAATAACAGAGAATCTTTAAAACCTAAATAGGTATTAGTTAAAATCCATCTTCGAAAGATTCTATTAAAGTAAGACGTTCGACTTCATCTTTTCGAACAAAAAAAATAGATAGGTTTACAAACTTAGGTACCTGTGAACCTTAGCTAGGAGTGTTCGATACTAAGGATGAGCAAAGTTGACTTTATTTCGAATCGAAATCAAATCGATATTTTTTTGGAATTGTATTGGAATCAACAGTATGAATTATTTTTTTGTAATCCGAATCGGAATTGCCGACACCTATCCCTATTTGACATACTCATACTGAACAGACTCTTGACTGGAAAGTCAATAAAATACGACTGCTATACTCAGTTTTACCAGATGGGAAAAAATATAGTTTGCAATGTTTTGGAAATAAAAATAGTTTACAAAAAAATGAATTCTTTCCGAATTAGCTGTTTTGTCGGTTTTTATATCTTTCGAGTATTTCCAAATTTGATCTCTGATAAGGCGATAGAAAAAAAAACCAAAATTCAAGTATTCGTGATCAGCATATTTAACTCAAATTAACGATGCACGAATAAAATCAAAATTATTTGCACACGAATTTTGCATTCCTGGTATTTTATGACTAATGAGAATTGAATAAATTTTTCAACTTTCAAATATTTATCTATCTTCTACTAATGATTGTTTTTTTTTTCTCGTGTTCAGTTTCCTACTTTGAATCTTTTACAATCAGATCAATCAATGTTAACTATTGATCAATGGAATCTGCTCTCAAATTTATCACATTGTTATGATGAACATAGTGGATTATCAATAGGTGAACATTTCATGCTTGAACAAAATGCTCTACCACTTAAATTACGTTTTAAAAAAGAACAAATAAAGAAATTGATCCAAATATCATTAGATAAGTGTCAATCATTATACAAAAAACAATCGAGATTTTCTCTCTTTATCTATAGATGATCGTTCGGTTTTACTACATAGTACATTCACACATACGGCACATCTTTCTGCAAATTTTATCATCTATAAAACTCAATTATTGAACTATCCTACTTATATCAATATTGTTGAAATGCTTACCCATCCAGGTCTAGTATCTGCTACTAAGCCTATAGCAGATCAACTTTATTTTGATATGATCATTATGAAATTATTTCTTGTTATTCTTTCATTTTCAACAACTCGCTATACAGTTTATTCAAATACACCTCCAGTAAATTTATCAAATATCAAAGAAATCTTACGTATTCAAGATACATATATTGAAATTACATGGCGATATTTACTTTATAGATATAATTTTGACCGGTCTGTTATATGTTTATCTGATCTTATTAGATGTTTCTGCGCTATTCATGAAGCTATAGTTAAAGTACATGATATTCCATGGCTTACAGATACAATTGCATCGATTGTTAACCAAACTGAACAAACTCTGAGTCCTAATTAATTGTTTTCTTTTTGTGTTGTATTAAGTGTATCAGTATGATGTTGAGTGTTTAGTTTTTAATAAACAGTAGAGACTAATGTGAAAAAGATTTGATAAAAAAATTTTGAAAAATCTCCAAGTTTGCTAATAATTATTTTGTTTTTTTTGATTTGTTCAAGTGTTATTAAAAAATATTTAAAAGAAAAAGAAGATATTCTAGAACTGCTCTGCAATGTAGATTCTATAATTAAACATGAAGATAATATCTTATTATTCACGATTTGCATGTTATCACATATTCTACAACGAAGATTAGAATTTATAATGGATGAGAACTTTTTTCATCTTGTCAGAAAATTTTAAATGTTAAACTGAGAATAATACTAAAACAATTTCTATGAAAATGATCATACAATTGGTATCCAAGTGATTTCTGATCAATTGTTATTAAAGAACCTCTTCAATCGATTTCATGTTTCCAGACATCACCTGAAAGCAAGAAACGTATAACAATGTATATATATATAGTCCTAGACAAAAGTAACCGTCTTCCATGAAATGCTACTATTCTTTATGATATTGAGCTAATATTTTAAGTGACTGGGTACAACGATGAATTATGATCGTAAGCACTAATCTACTCTCTATCAGTTCACACATACTGGAGTTATAATTCAAATATCTTGTTGCCGTTGTAAAAAACATATCCAGAAGAAATATGCAAACAAAAATTTTTTGTTTTTTTTCATTTTGCTATTCCACCAGCTACTACTCTTTTTTTTCCTAGCGCAAAAAGCAGCCCCATATGTCTGCTTTAGTATCATCAAAGCTCGTGACACTTAGTTAAGATCTTAATATTTAGCTTGCTCTGGAATAGTGAACTCGTGCCGTAGCGATAAGTCGATTTTATTCAATGCTATAGCTGTAAAACTTCTAGGACAGACTTTTCGTCTCATGGAAGCTTTTTACTCAAATTTTTAAATGAATTGGTCAAGGTCATCATGGAAAAAATCCATCTTAGTAAAAAAAAACCAGTATTTGCTCTTCAACAGATAGTCTTAATGAGAATACAATATTTCAGTTATTATAAAGTGATTTTATTAGAGGTCCCTTTTGCTTCTTCTTTTAGTTCCGTTTTATTTCGAATGACCCGACCCAAGATAGAGAGCATTGCGATGAGAAAAAAAAAAGAATCAAAGAATGTAAACAAAGAGAACGAAAACAGAACAGAGACAAGAAGCGAATGCCAAAGATGAACAAAGAGAGAACGGATAATAACAGCTGAAGCGATGTGAACAACATGCCTGTAACAGATTTCTAACAAAATTCGAACTAGAGATGACTATGACATAGGCTTTTCGAATGATGAGTTCAACAAAAATATTCGTGATAACGTGGTTGAAAGAAAGCGATTACAAGAAGAAGATGATGTCTACATCATAATTTCAGTACATGTGAACCGATACCGAACGGGTTGATGCTTGCTATCAGGATTTATTGTCGCATACATGTACCCCAAATATCAGTTCAATATCGTAAAGAAGAGTAGGACTTCATGGAAGGCAGCTACTCTTGTCCAAGACTGTATATAATTCATTAGAATTGGTAATATACCTAAATGGAAGAAAATTGTTTAGAAATCTATAAAAATAAACTTTAATCTTCAAGAAATTAATCATCGTATCAGATTGTCCATTATCAACCATCTGTAGGTAATTTTTATGTTTTTAGAACCTCAAACTCGGACAAATCGAGTAATAAAAAAACGATCTACTACATGTTCCTTCGTATTTTTGCTCAATTGTTCTTAGTCAATTGGCACATTCTTTTAACTTTACGTTCCATTGCCTTATGGCATCTCGAACTTGATACATTCCTCAGGTCGATCAAAACTGAATACCGTTTACAGTCTGTTTTTCGTCAACAAACAATAAAAAACGACTACTTTACGGATGTTTATTGTCTGCTTTTTCTCGTAATCCCGGACACAGTAATACGGTGCCGTATACGTCATCGTATTTTAGCTATATGCGGTCATATACCGGGTGTATCAAAGGTTTTGCAACAATTCGGAAAAAAACCAATCTGTTTCAAAAGAAAATAAAAAATAATAGTATAATGCTTTAAAAGCCACAATAGAGTACCACTAGAATTAAGTATGTTCATCTATAATTAGTTCTCTATCGTGTTTTTCCACGGAACGTACTCGTCGAAGGGAAGCAGCGATCATATCCCGTACATAATTGATATCAATTTTCTCCATCGCTGTTTCGACTTGTCGATTCAAATCATTGATTGTTTTGACTTTGTGATATTCCACGTAATTTGAGATATTATCTCGTATTGAATAATCCCATTGATTAAGTTCTGGAGAATTGGTGACCATTTTGTTTTTTGGATAAAGAATTTGAAGTTCTTTTGATACCACTTGTGAGCTTTGTGGTCAGTATGAGAGCTAACCCCATCCTTTTGGAAACCCCATTTTTTGTGTCTAAATAGATGGTCACCTTCCTTTTTATAAAATGGTAACAATTAATCATAATAACTTTGAGCCTTTAGCCGTTCGTCTTTTTTGAAAAAAGTATGAACGTATTAGACCATACAATGTTACATCCAATACAAATACAATACACATTAGATATTTTTCCATTCTATAAAGTTCACCGCACTCATTGGCATCAGATCGATTATCTGCTTAAACAACATCATTTTTTTCGATTAAAAAAAATTTTTGAGAAATAGTTTTTCGTCAGTAAACATCATTTTCTATAGTTTACCACTGCTAATCTTCTTCTAAATCTGTGTGCAACATATTTTTCTTATTGGTTTTTGACATTCTTTTAACTTATGAACATTAATTTTTCGATAGCATCTTTTATTTAAATCAATAATGAGTACTCGATTGATGCCTTGAGTATTGGGTTAAAATCGAAAAGATATTTTTATCATAATTGAAGCATGTAGAATATAGCTGTGGTAAAAGTGTACTCAAGGATCTTCTGTTTACTGCAAGCTATCCACAATCAGTTGTTATCGTTTATAATTGAATAAATTCGTTCATTTTGATGATTACTCATAGTAATGATAATAAAGTATAACTTCAAGAGTTTTTGGTATTTTAGGTGAAATAATCACGTGTTCGTCACGTGATCAAGGGTTTGTACTTAAAGTTTATATATATATATGCATAGAAAAAAGAATACGTTTGAATGTAAACAGAAAAAAAGAATCGAAGTGAAAATCAACTTCTCTTCAGGAATTATTAGTCTTCTGACTTTGTATGTTAGTATTTATTTATTGGACGTCAACATATTCAAAATTAATTTGTTATTAAGTTAAACCTCAATTATTTCGAAAATAAACGAGACTGAATAACAAAAGAATGTTTCTTTCACCCTAACCATCGTCACCTCCATACTTCTCGACGGTCCACATTTTTCTTTACACGAAGAAAGTGAAAAAAGCATCTCTTTTCTTTTTTTTCTGTTCTGTTCTTGTCCGCTTTGCGTTTCATCAACGTGAAAGGTCTATGTCTAACATCGATAAAATAAGTATAGACCTGCCGTAAAAATCATGGTTTTCGTCAAAGATAATCAAAAATATTCTAAAGAAAATAATTGCGTTGTTTAAAATTATTTTATCATTCTTTACAGTTCTAGTTATTAGTCGGTAAAATATCGAATATTTTCTTGACTA